AAATTGAGGCCCCCGGTGAACTTCAGTGCTATCCTAACCTGTGCGGGGGGCCTTGGTGGGTGTGGCAATAGTGACCTCACTGTCCCTAAAGCTTTAGACACTGAGGATAGAGGGAGGGATTGGTAAACAGAACTGATGGGGCATTTTCTCTGTATTGGCTGTAATTTTCACCTGGGATGGTGACCAAGAGAGCATTGCTATGTACACATTTGCAGTTGGTGACTGTTAGGTAACTAAAAGGCACACAACACGGCTGCCTCAGTGTATGCAGCAATAGCATTTCTTGAGCTCCTGTTGCTCTGGAATGATACTGGGCTTGGCTCATCTTGGCTGGGCAGTTCCAATGATTGTGCCTCAAAATGTCTTCTGCATCTGCGGGTCAGCTGCACTGGATTGATCTTGGCTGGACCAGCCTGGGGCAACTCAGGTCTTCATTCCCTTCTGTCTTGGTTACTTTTCTCTCATTGCTGAGACAAAATACCCAACACCCAGAATTAAGGAAGGAAAGGTTTGTTTAGCTCACAGTTTATGGAAGTTTCAGTCCATACTCCGCTGGCTCCAAGGCAGGGTGACACATGGCAGAAGGCAACCGTTCGTGGCAGCGGGGAAACAGCAAAGCAGCAAGGGCAAAAGGGAGGAGGAGTGGTGGCAAGGAGCCTCTTTCTCTCCCTTGCATAGGCAAACTATCTGCCCCAGGGCGGGTGTAGCAGTCACACCCATAATCCCAGCATTGGATCATGGATCAATCATAAACTCTAAAAGCCTGCCCCATGACTGCATGAGGCTTTGGGGGGACATACAGACACAAACCATAACACCCTCATCCTCACTTACACAGGCATTTATCTCGTTTGCAAAATTACTTTTGTTGATTAAAAGGCTGGAAGATGTGCATGGAAGCAAGCAGAAATACAAGGTGGATCCTAAGATCATGGCTCAAACTGGGGTGAATTTTATGGGAGGCACAAAAAATAGCTATTGGAACAGAAACATTTTGGGAAGAGACACTGAAAGGACTGCATGCATGTTTTTGCTTGTGTCACACTTAAGATTGTCTTTAGTTGTGCAGCTGTGGACAATGTAACATACAGAATCGACCCATTTACCTTTCACTCTGATTTAAGGATGAGCCAGCAGTCAAATCATGCTAGATCTGGTGAATAAGGTGGGTAGGGAAACACCGGGAGTTTCTGAGCCTGCCTTTCCATGGGATGGCACTCCCTTGCAGCATTCACTGATTGTTGGTCATACGTCACAAAGACACTCATGAAAAAGGACTTACAGAACTGCTTTATGGCAAGAACAATATGAAAGATGCATTGGAAGCAAGGAGGGATATTTGGGGAAGGACGAACGGCAATGTACCTTTTGCTATAATGCTGTTTAAAAATTCAAATATTCACCATAGTTTTGGATCACTCTTTGTACATTCTGTACATTTCGATTAAGGAAAGTTTTAACACCTAGTTACAACTCAAACTCTTGGAAACTAGAAATGACAGTCAATATTTGTTTTTTACCTTTGAACTGAGAGAAGATAATTTGAATGCAATATACGTTGTCCATTATGTCAATAACTGAAAGGCAGCTAGGAAGAGCAGAGAGTGGAAACGGATGGTCAGTGGTAACGAACCAAAAGCACACGTGCTATGCAGCCTGTTTGTTATCATTGAAAGCTCTAAACAGTTCTCCACCATGAGCTGACTGTCACCATCTACAGGTGATATGATCATGTGCCAATCAAACACACAAACACAAAGCCCAAAATTGGCACAAGAACTGTTCTAACTAATAAGAAAGGTTCTCATTTGTCAATTATATATCAGTGAAGAGGAGAGGGAGTTCAGCAAGATGGTTAGATAGATTGTCAAATATTATTCCTTTTTACCAGCTATAACCAACTAGGGAATATAACTTACAGTATGATACCTTTCACATGCATCCTATAAATATCAAAGTCTAAAAAAATACCTTAAAAATTCTGATGGTGTAACTTATATAAATGCGTCAGTCTCCCTGTACTTACTCTGTAAATTCAATTCAAATAAGAAGTCCAAGCTAAATATTTTTTAGAAAATTGACAAATTTACTCTAAAATCTAAATTTATTCTAAATTGCTCTAAAATTGGGTGAAATCAATTTACAAAAATCAGTTTAGTTTGATAATAAAATTAGAGATTAAGTAGGGAAGAATTGTACTAAATATAAAGTCACATATGAAGTCATAGCAGTATAAATGACATGGTACTGGCAAATAAAAATAAACCAGTAGACAGATCTTAACACAGGTCTAAGGAGAAAGGTCAAATTTATTAGTAGGTGATTAAGGAGAAAACTAGATTACTCTTTAGAGAAATATAATACAAGATTTAATATCAATTTTAGTCCACTCTAAATGAGTTAAAGAATCTGAATGGTTAAAATGCATTATTATTATTATTATTAATTATTATTATTATTATTTTGGTACCAGGAATCAAACTCAGGACCTTGTACTTGCCAGGCAGCAAGCACTGTGCCACTGAGCTATATCCCCAGCTCTTAAAATGTATAATTATTAGAAGAAATACAGTATCACTGTGACTTTGAAAGTGGAGAATATTTTCTAAAGAGAATTTCAAAAATTCAAATGTCAGGCAAGAAAAAATCTGCCAGATTTGATCATATGAAAATGAAGTGTTTTGGTTGAGTGAAGGACACCTTGGATAATGATAATAAGCCAAAACTGCGAAGGGATAATACTTAGACAGTAATTCCAGAAGGAAAGGGACCAAATCATATGTTTATAGGCAACTTAGGGAAGAGAAAATTCCAAACTCTAGCAAGTTTAGAGAGTGAGGCTGAAGAAGCATTAATCATCAGACAAATGCAAGTAAAAACAAAAAATTACCATTTTATACTTACATTTTAAAATAACTTGGACTGCTGGAAAATCCTGAGTATATACAGGAATGATGTACTAGTGAGCACTTTTGCTGCGCCAGGGGCAGCATCTGCTGGTGCACCCATTCTGAAGGGCAACTGCCACTGCTGAGTCAAACTAAGTGCATGCCTTTTATTTACAACTCAGGTTGATTTCCTGGAAAACAGATGCGCAGTGAAAGTAGTGCCTACAGTCAGTTTACTGGAGAATATGCCAGAATCAACACTCAGGAGAGTGATATCTACAAAATCACCACAAAGGTCTCAGCTGTTATGTCTGTCCTACAGGTATCTCTGGAGCTGGGCTGGTGCTTCAGAGCTGGATACCTTCTCCCACCAGACACGAGGAGGCAGGGACCTTGGGTGAAGCAGCATTCTTTCTTGCCTGATAGCCAACACTCTCAGGAGCTGAGGCTCTCTTGGTCTGGAAGAGGATATCTGAGTCTCCCACCCTCTCAATCAGCACAGCCTGTGACCCAGGAATTCTACCAATGGATCCATCTTGCAAGGGGGTGTTCCCAGAGGGATACATGGACAACTGATTATGGGAGATAGGGTTGGGGGCCTATGTGTGTAGCCCTGAGGAGATAAGTAAAATGGAGAAACATATAGTCGTTCAAAGCAATTGATTAGGGGCTGGGGATTTAGCTCAGCGGCAAAAGCGCCTGCCTGGCAAGCGCAAGGTCGTGAGTTCGGTTCCCGGTATCGGAGAAAAACCAAAAAACAAAACAAAACAAAACAAAAAAAAACAAAAAAAAACAAAGCAATTGATTATAGGTGCATAAAGTAATGTGTATCTTAATATTTATATAAATTAAAATACATGTGCACTAATGGTATACACCAGCATATACTTGTGAAGAACATACATTAATGAATACATGATCAATAAACACATGACTCTTGTTTCCTATAGGGGGAAGGGAATGGATTAAGAGGGAACAAATAGACAATCAGAGGGAGGGGTCCTGTATAGATAGTGGTGACAATATATAATGGAGCTAAGGGCTATGATTAAATTGACTCTCCGCATCTGAGTTTTAATAAAACAGGAGTCATAGCAGCGTTAGAAATGTTTAACCATTATTTAGGGCAGCCTCCAATCCTTCCACATACCATTTTATTTATTTATTTATTTATTTTATTTATTTATTTATTTTTTTTTGGTTTTTCTCTGGTACTGGGAACCAAACTCACGACCTTGCGCTTGCCAGGCAGGCGCTTTGCTGCTGAGCTAAATCCCCAGCCCCCACATACCATTTTAAACACACCTAACCCAAAGAAGGTCCTCATGGAGTTGTGATCAGCTGGTATATTTATCTGCTTCCGGAGAGGCAGGACCAGGGATACTTTTCCAGATCTTCTGGGCTTATGTTTTCATATTTGAATCTAATTAAGAGTTCGTAAAGTCCACAAAGAAAGTTTAAGTTCTTTCTTCATGGTTGTAGTTAGCTTGAAGAGAATAAATCCAAGCATGAGGCTTGAAAAGATGCCGCCCATGGAAAGCAGGCACAGAGAAAATGGAGAATTACGAGAGGGAGAAAGAGAGAGGTGGATCCTTCCAGCAGAGTAGAAAGCATTCCTGGAGGAAACACAAGGGAAAAGTGAACTTTTGCAACGAGAGGGTGAAACAAAGTTAAAGAGATACTCAAAGTATTTTTAAACTGTGAAACTGCCAAAGAGAATTTGAGCCAGAAAGTACACAGTCCACATGGGGAAAGGTTTTTTATAGAAAAATCCAGTTTCTAGGATATTCTTATCACAGGGCTAGGAAGCAGAACACAGACTCAGAACAATAGCTTTGTGGGACTCTTAATGCCAAGAGATTCCAGCCTCCTCCCTGAAGATCTGGACCCTGGAAAGTGAGAATATGCACAAGAAGATGCATTCCAAAACAATCTGGGTCCTCGTCCTGACTGACAGGGCCACTCTACGATACCTCAGACGAGTCCTCCCCTCCACCAACCTCAGCTTTCCCATCTGTAAAACAAAAATGTCAACTGTCTTGTGGTTGTGTTTTAAAAAATTCTAGAACATGAGGTAAGAATGATGTAAGAAAGGGCTGATAAAATCTCTGCCCAGCTGCCAAGGAGCTAGAGGAGCACAGCTGAGTCCCATCATATAAACATTAAGTGAATGGGATTCTTTGCTTCATATGAGAAGAGGAAGAGGAGGAAGAGTAAGAAGAGGAGGGTTGGGAGGCTGTAGGGGAGGAGAAAGAAAAATAATAATTTAAATGATGTGGCTGATATCTTTTGCCTTTCTCTAGGTCAGTTACAGTATAAGCATCTCATTATCCTTGTGTAAACTTAAGGTTTAAATATATGCATACATGCACGCATATATATTTAACTTTGTGTACGCTTATATATGCATATATTTATATATATGGCATATTATATGGCCTATTAATGCATGCAGGGCAACTATATCATATTACTCAAGTGAAGTAGCAAAAATATTTTCCAACTCTGGAAGAAAATCTCCTGGTCCTGCTGGACTTCTTGAAAATTAGCGTGTCTGTTCATGAGCATAGAATGTGATGATTTGGATTTTATTTTTATTATTATTATTATTATTATTAATTATTCTTAATTAGTATTGTTATTATTATGCAGTCCTGGAGATTGAACCTAGGGTTTTTGCAATGAGCAACATCCCCAGCTCTTTTTGTATAGGATTTTGGGTCAGGTTTTGTTAAGGCATTAATTTACCCAGGCTGAGTTCGAATATACAGCCCTCCCGCCTCAGACTTCCAGAGTGCTGAGATTATACACATTTGCCCCTTTGCCTGACTATGATTTGGATTTTAAAGGGTAATTTTGATCAGACATGATTTTTTTGTCTCATTTCTTTGTGTGACCAGGCATGTGCCATTATAATTGCCCCAGACTCTGGTGTTTGTTTCCTATATATGAGCTCTTCCACATTTTGAAAGGCAGAGTCCACTTGCCTCCACTGACCTCAAAGTTCTCATTAATGTCCTGTCTCCCCTTGCTGCACGTCATAGGGCCACGAGTCTTTGAATTAACCTCAGCAAAGCCACCAATCGGAGACTGCACGGACCACACTCCACAGAATTCAGTGCCAGCAAAGTGCGCAAGCCTCAATATTTGAGCCACCAACAGCACCATGAGAACATGATGGTTGGAGCGCAGCGTCTGTGGTGTTGGCATGGACTGTGATGTCTGGACTCAGTGGTTGTGACTATAAATGGACCACAGGGCCTCTGTGGCTTGTTTGGATATCCTTTCCTGCTACAAAATTTCCAAGCTTGCCTGTATAGCCCTTCTGAGTATAAAGCTTGCTCCAAACCCTTTTAGTAATACTTTGTTCTTGCATTAGTCTGATCCCTGAAACCAAACGCAGACTTTAAAATCCTCATGCAAGATGTAACAAGACTTACTTACATATTTGGTTTAGTTCACCAGTGCAGCTTTTTGGGGTTAGAGTTTTCATAGTGAAGTATTGTTTAATTACTTCTTCTTGTTATTCATATGTAAGTCTGTTTAAAATTTCTATTTTTTCTAGTGGGATTTGCATATTTGTATTGTCTTTCATTTCTTCTAATTTGTTGAGACTATTTACATTAAGTTGTTCATAATATTCTATTATCTTTTAAATGTTAGTAGCATTTGTGTGGTGTCCTCTTCTTCCTGTTCTTTTACATCTTCTCTTTTCTTATAATGTTCATAACAGAGATTTGTTGATTTTATTCAAATCAAACAACTGTCGGCTAAGCTGATTTTTTCCTACAGTTTGTATATTTTTATTTTTTATTGATTTCTGCTTCTTATTACTTTTTTTCTTTCACTTATTTGGGTTTTAATCTGCTCTTCTTTTATCTAACCTATTAAGGTAAGATTATGTCTTTTATTTTAGAAGGCTTTTTTCTAAAATCATGTTTTCCTCTAAAGAATTTCTTTACTTGTATCTCGTGAATGTGTTATACTAGGTTCATTCAGCTCAAATCATTTTGATTTTTTTGATATTTCCTCAAACATTTGGGGCTTTTAAAAAAATCTCCTTTTTTATTATTGGTTTGTATTATATTATAAATATACCTGATATTCCTGTCCTTTTCCATGCAATAACGCTTTTTTAATGGTTAAGCATATTGTCTATCACTGATTAATGTCTTTGTCCAAACTGAAAAATAAATGTATTTCTGTGTGTACATGTTTAAGTGTGTTATATTTTAAGATCTGAGGATTTATATGTACGAAACATCTATTTTTATCTCTGATAATAGTCTGTACTTACATCTACTTTGTCTTATGTTAATGTACTCACGGTAGCCTCTTCTAATAATTTTAGCATAGCATACTTTTTACTATACTTTTAAATTTTTTGTGTATTTATTTTTAAAGTAAATTTCTTTAAGATAAATACTGAGTTTTGGTATTCAAGAACAAGGAAAATAGATGCCATGGTAATCCTTAAATTCCTTAACTCACATTTTTTTGTACTTTCATAACTTTTTTTGCTAACATTAATAGTTACAAATAGATATTTTCCGTAATATATAGAGGTAATCTTTACCTCATGTTTGATAATAGAACGTATTTTAAAAGATAATAATAATTCCAAATCTATGCCATATGAAATTATTTAAGATTTTGAAAAAGAATACTATAAAATTTAATATCTAAAGCTATCACTTAAAACATTAAGATATGTGAAATATTAATTGTCCCATACACTAATCTTTACCAATTTTAGGGTAAACACTACAAATGTAGAAAATTTCTCTAATTTTTGCATCTATGTTGGTTGATTTGCTAAGAGTGTGTCTATCCTTAAACATCCTCAAATTGGGTTTTTTAGGTCACATGTTCACTCATATAAGATTATTTTCTTTTTAAAAATAACAGTATGTTGTTTATCTTGATTTTGGTTTGGCCATTGCAATTGATATTGCTTTCACAAATTCAGATTTTAGAACAGTTCCTAGGCTTATTTCAGAGTACTCCACAAACACATATTTACAAGAAGGCAACAGCTAAGACTAAGCCTAACTGGTTATGTAACAGCTGTCCCTCTCTAACCCTCTCCTTCCTTGATTTCTATAAATGTTTATCTTAAGCTTAGGCTCTGCATCTCACTGTTTTCTGCTCTTATTCTTCAGCTGACATCAGTAGATTCCTTAAAACAAGTATCATAGGTATACTTAATTTGCACCCAAGATTTATATTTTTCCTGTTTCCCCCCCCCTTTTTTTTTTTTTTTTTTTTTTTTTTTTTTGCTTTTTTCCAGTACCAGGAATCAAACTCACGACCTTACGCTTGCCAGGCAGGCGCTGTGCCACTGAGCTAAATCCCCAGCCCCTTCCTGTTTTCCTAATTTCTTGTCTGAAATACATAAAATTTCCAAAATGGAAGGAATTTCCACAGGAAAACAGTAATCAGGTATTTACATCTTTCTTCTTCATCAAGTTTGATATTCCCTGGCTTTCCATTGGTATGCTAGGCTGTTTATATTTAATATAATATTAATATGGCAGGGTTTGAGTATACTAATCTTCCCATTTGTCTCATATTTATCTCCTCTGTTCTTTGCTCCTTTTTATTCTTCTGCTTTCTTTTCAGTTAATTGGGTAGTTTTTAGTATTCAACTTCATTTCTACCTTGGGCTTTGTAGATATATCATTAGTTTGGGCATGCAGTTCCACAGTGGAGCATTTGCCTAGCATTCATGAGGCCCAGGGTTTGATCTCCAGCACAATAAAAAAAAAGTATACTGCTTTATTTCACTTTTTAGTGACTGCTTATGGTTGGCCATGCATTGATCTTCTATAACATACTTTAATGTACTATTTCTGCCACTTTATGTGTAATATAAGAACCTTTGAATATCTTCTTTCCATTTCCCTTTCCCCCACCCCTTTGCCCTATACATGTATAGGTTCTATAGATGCTTTGAACTACACATCTACCTATATCTACATCAATATCTAGGTGTTCAAAAAGTTCTCCTCCTTAAAAACTTACTGTGTGATTACTTATTTACCATTTCCGGTGAGCCTCAGCTCTTTTTAGAGATCTGAGTTTCAATTTGGTCTTATTTTCCCTCTACCTAAAAGGCTTTCACTGGTATTTGTTGTAGCCTTTGCTTTGCTTGAAATGTTCTTCCTTCATTTACCTGCAGTGCTCGTTCCCTCCCTCCTGTGTCTCTGATAAAATGTCACCCTGTCGTGAAGTCCTTTAGCCGTGTATTAATATTTTGATATCCTGCTCTGTGGAACTGACTATGAGCCTCTCTGCTTTATTTTTCTTACAGTACATTGTACAATCTGACCTGCCTGATTATCTTTTGGATTTTTTGGTTTGGGTTTTGGTTTATCTCCTGAAATTAGAGAGGAAGGTCCATCAGAGCAGGGAATTTTATTTGTTTTGTTCACTCAGATGCCTATATACTAGTGGCTGGTAGTTTTATAAAGGACATATATTGGATATATATTAAAATATTTTTGAAACAATGGAATTTGTAATTTGGAGAAGTATTTGAATTTTTTCCTATTTCCTTTCTTTCTTTCTTTCTTTCTTCTATTTTGTTCTTTATTTGTATATTTGTATATATTTATCATATAGGAGAAACAATGCAGTATTTGAGCTTGTGTGTATGACTTATTTTACTTAATATGTTCTTAAGTTGCGTGCATTTATCTATGAATTTGTCTCTTTTTATGGCAGCATAGTATTCCATTGTGTATAAACACCACATTTTCCTTATCCTTTCATCTGTTGATGGACTTATATTCTGTTTCCAAAATCTGGCTATTAGAAATTAAGCTGCTATTGTTTCATTTATACTACTAGTTTATCTTAGTTCATTTAAAAATTTTGTATCATTAACTGTTTCTTTTTTGTAAGAATCTTTTCTGTTCATGTCTTGTACTCTGAGTAACTACTTTGAAGGTAAAAAAAAAACAGTGTATTAACTATTACTGTTCTCTTATTAATTTGTTATGAAATTTTATTTTTTCATAAAAATTGTGTGGCTCAGACAGATGCTCACTGGCCAGAGTCTAGTTCTGAGCCCTCCCATGGACTGTAAAATTTTTCCAAGACACTCTGAGCACTGTGTCTTTCCTTTCTCAAATCAAAGTGCTTGGCAAACTAGGGAAATCAGTATGGTGGTTCAACAAAAATTTAAAAAGAAAAAAATAGAGCTATCATTTAATCCAGCCATACCACTCCTTAGTCTATATGCAAAGGAATTCACCAGCACACCCCTGTTTATTTCAGTACAATTCACAGTAGGCAATACGGATGGCCTTCAATGAATGGATAAAGAAAATCTGGTCTACATACACAGTGGAGTATTATCAGCTATAAAGAAGTAAAAAAAATTATCACAGAAAACTGGATGGATCTGGAGATCAATATGTTGAGGGAAATAATCCAGAGTCAGGAAGATAAATACCAAAGGCTTTCCCTAATATGTGGAATCTAAAATAGATGACCAGAGAGTATTATTAGACCAAAAGAAGGGAATAAGGAGGAAAGGCAAAGGGTGCAAAGGTGGGTAAAAAGGAAGATGGAATGATCTATCTTTCTATCTATCTATCTATCTACTTATCTCTCTATATCTCTGTCTATCTATCTACATTATATAGTGAAATAAAAATACTGTGAAACTAGGGGAGGGACAGGACAACAGAGCAATGATGGTAAAAGTAATATATGCTGTAGGAAGGTACAAATCTGCCAAAATGAAATCCATTAATCCATATGACTAATAAAAAAGATGTGAAGGGGAAAAAAAGAGCACTGGTCATGTGTCCTGGCTCTGCAGGTGGCATTAGAAGCCCAAGGAAGCAAAGAACTCCTCCCAGCTCCGGCCGAGAGGGATCAGTCAGAGAGAGCTTCATAAACCCATTAGACACCATTTGATTTCCAGCAACTTCCTCCTCCTCAGGCTCTGCTCCCTCTGCTCAACACAAGGTCTTCTGGTTTGAGGTTGGGCAATGGAGCGCTGCCGCCAGAAGTTCTTGATGTAACTGAGATAAGGTCCCTGCAGACTTGCACAACTTGAGGATGCAGCACGAGGAGCCTTGCCCTGCTCGGTCTGGGAGCGTCTCCTTCTCTTGATGAAATAACTCTGCATTTAGCTTTGAAGCTGCAATCTTGGGTCACTTCCCATCTTGTAGGTACCAAACAAAACTCCCTGAATGTGTCCCTTCTCCCCCTTCCCCCCAGACATGTATCCTGACATCTTTCACTTGTCCCTCGTCCAGTAAACAAGGTCTTGGTAACACATAAACATGATTTATGGAAAAAATCTTCCCCCAAATCTGCTTAGAGAAGCAGCG